AGAAGATGAACTGATTCTGTGTTTCATTGGAAGTCGATAATTTATTTCCTTCATATTTTAAAAGAATAGTTGAGCGGGGTTTTCAGCTTTCGACGTGGCATACCGATAGATATTGACATGCAATCATAAAACGAGTACAGTAACCATATCTCTATTAATCATATAGAAATCCATTCATATCCAGCTCCAACACACACATCAAGATGACCTACTTGATAGGATATGGTACTAGGATACACTCTATACGCCGATTTCTCTATAGGAGGAGACAAACAGACCAAATTGGCACACCGGGGAATTTAATTCTGACCCCCGTAAAAAGTAGGCATATTGTACCATAAATTACCAAATGAGCATTAGAAATGTTGCAGAAAATACATTAAGACATTTAGAATTAATATCGATACAACTAATGTACAATAAAAATGTGTGCACAAATTAAACAAATTTTACGTCTGATGTTGAATGATTCATCGCAGTCATTTGAACAATCAACTTATGTCAGGTTGACTGTACTTTACTTTATTGTTTAATTAATTAATTTATTTATATTTGAACACGTTTACAAAATGACAACCATAATAGAAGTCTTGGCTTTATCATAAAAGCATATGAGAGTGCTTTCCATAATCGCACATTAGCTTTAATAAAGTGGTGAATAATCTGGCAAGCAGCGATCATCATAAAAAAAATGAGTTTTAGTCGTTATTTTACAGAATTTGTACTACAGATACATCTTCACCTCAGTACCCAATAACTTAAGAACAGGAGGTGTGGGAATGGAGCAAGTTGTAGACCGTGGCTCCAACGAGTAAGACAAAATCAAATATTGACTGATACATATAAAGTATATACTTCTAAGCTGTATAGCGGTACTGCTATCATTTGCTTATATACATTTTGAACGTTAAAGAAGAGAAATCTGCGAGTGTGAAAAAAGTTGCCTCAACATGGATGTGAACCCGTCACCTTATGCTGTCTATGCAGACTAGCTAACGGACTGGACCATCGAGGCTTCGTTAGAAATTTAAATCCGATAATCAACAAACAACAGAAATCAATATTCAATAATTGTAATGTACGCCCTAGTTAAATAATTGAAGTCTAGGAAAATATCGGCCAACGGTATCTTTAATTTGAAGTTAACTTCTTTTGATATAATTTTCTTTCAACTATTCAAGGGAATTAGTATTAAGTAATTTAATCCAAAAGAAGTGCAATTGAATTTACGTTAACAGCAATTGCTTATGCAGCAGCAAATCGTATGTTTTAAAGTGGATTCTAAGTCATAGATTGAATATTAAATGCGTTCTTCTGTTCAAAGGTCAATACTAAGGAGGATGAGAAGGAGGAGGAAAAAGAGCATGCTGATGAAATGAAGGTGGTGATGATGATGATAAGGATGATAATGACGATGATGATGATAATGAGGATGATGACAACGAAGACGACGACGATGAGAATGATGACGAGTACGATGATGATGAAGATGGAGATGATGGTAACGGCGATTGTAATGATGATAATGTCGATGGTGATTATGATGGAGGTGTAGTAGGAGGAAGAAGACGATGATAATGATAATGAAGGTGATAATGATGACGATGATGATGATGATGATGAAATAATATGGGAAAATAACGATACTTAACAGTAACCATGGGCGTCGATTGGTGGGGACAGGGGGGACGCATCCCCCCACTTTTCATAGTGGGGGGACATCATATCGATTGTCTCCCCCCCCCCTACTTTTCACCAATCTTCTATAATTAAAACCCCACTTTTACAAGCGAATGGAAAGAATAACAATTACGCATGACTCATGAATTTTGTCTGTTCACTTTTCTAAGAGCGGTACGTATTTTCCGGTCCAAAACCAAGTAAAAACGCAATTTGTAACCATCTCAGAAACCCACTAGATCGATTTTATGGGTGCAACGACTATCAGAGGCTAAATTTAATGTGAAAACAATGTACTGAACGTTGTTGAAATTGGAAGCATGTATCCTTATTAGGCCAATATTTTCACAAACTCAAAAGTGCAGAATTTCTAATGTAAACGATTTATTCTTTTTGTATATTATTATGATCTACTTTTCGAACGTGCAAGTCCCTCCCTGTCCCCCCTCTAATTTGCTTTCCTGGAGCCGCCACTGATAATGATAAATTAAGTAAATCACCTTTATATTTGTGAAATATTTTGTATATTATTATGACCCATACGTAGTGTTTAATATTATCTACATACATAGGATTACTGTTTTTTCTAATTTCACGGATATGATGTCTACCTATTTCGATTAAGTGATAAGCCTACCAAAAGTTTACAAACTCCAGTGTTACGTTGACGCAGTATCGCAATGACGCCATAATAATCAGTGGCAGATTCGAGTGGGGCCGAGCCGGCCCTAATTTTTTCACAATTATTTTTAAAAAATGGAAAAAAAACAAAGGAAAATTAGAATTAGAATTTAGGTCTGAGAGTGCCATTTCCGGCAATCTAGAGGTGTCATAATCATATATTTTCTTTCCTCAGCCCCAAACATGGTGGGGCTGAGGTGGTAGTCCAACTACACTCTCCATCTGTAAAAGTCCCTCTCTGGGCCCAGCTCTATTTCAAATTACTGGATCCGCCACTGGATATTTTAAAATTTCGTATGGAAATAAATGTTAATTGCATTGCTTAAAATCAATTAAAAGGCTATATGCGCCAGAGCTTCCGGGGTTTCGCCCCCTGGTCCCCAACCATTGCTTGGGCCTACGACCCAAGGCTTTATTTTTCATCTCGTCCCCCCACTTTCAACCACGGATCGACGCCCTTGACAGTAACAAAGAGGATTATTGTTAATGATTATATACCGAGGATGCTTTGATGATACTGGCAGTCACTGATACAAATGTTAAAGATCCTCGTAACGAATGCTGACGTTAATGAAAAATGAATCGTAGTACTATTCGTGAGTACAATATTAATGATGATGCGATACTGATGAAGATGTGATGACAGCGTTATGAAAAAATACCATATGTTATTGTATAATATTAAAAGGCATGCATGCTGCTTTAAAACTGAAGTAATAAGCTGACATGTTGCTTCCGACTGATAGTATTGTGGATAATCATATATATTTGAAGAGGACTTAAACAAAAGTCGTACAAAATAAATTCCTTTCTTTGTGATGCCGGCACGACATTTTCTGTAAACCACTTTTGGTAACGATTCTCATCAGGAAAAATATTAATTCGAAGTTATATCTCAGATATAACAATTACAAATCGTCTGATACATCACAATTACGATCGGTATATGCCAATTGAAGATTGAAACTGCAAAATAAGAGTTACATGAAGAGTGTATTGGATATAGGTTAAAGAAATGATTCAGATACCTTAAGGAACTTTTATAGTAATGCCAAGAGTCGCAAGCAAAAATGGTCTGGTCTATTCTTTTCAAATTACTTTCCATAAAGAGAACAACAAAAATGTAACTTCTTATATAGATGTACATCCACATATTGTGTTACAAAAATGGGGGTTAGACAAGAAAAAGGGATAAAGAAAGTAAAAGAAACCAATGGATGAACAAAAGAAGTATATTAATAAATTTAAAAAAATACAATTTAAAACATCCGTACACAATGTAGGTAAAATGAATTTCATTAGTCAAACAGAACCCTTAAAATTATAGTTTTTCTAAACGAAGAATAAGATAAGGATTTTAAAAAATGAAGGAACAGAGCAAGCATGTCTCTATCAACTTTTGACTCGACACACTTCTGCTATAATAGGTCTAGGTTAAAAAACTAGGGTATAGCGGTTTGTTTAATACAAATGATCCCATTTATATGGAATTTTATTATATAATTTATTCATGAGATGGAATTGCGTTAACATACGTAGTCCCCTATAGGGGGATTTATTATTATTTTTTTGTATTTTTATAGGCCTGGCCTATATTGACATGTATTCAAGGAGATTCTAAAAAGAGCACTCCAAAATGCTTTTGATTTTCAATCAAAATGTTCACATTCCCTCTCATTTGCTCATGTTTTTCGACAAGACACACAGATTCAACCTCTCTCTATCCGGGGAACAGTACAAGCATGTACTCGATAGGTTGGAAAATGGATGTATACATAGTCCAAACTCTCTATTAGCGGCAATTAACACATTGAACAGTTCTATGTGTTTGTATAAACCACGGTAATAACATGAATCGCGTTGTACGTACCAAAGCCTTGGTGTCGTGCGGAACCGGAATTATTATTGTTATTCCCAATTTTGGGTAATGAAAACGAATTTCTTACACCAACCTATTTTTTTTTCCGGTTTCTCACGCATTATCTATACAAACACGTTTACTTTTCCCTTTTAAAACATAGCCATAATTAAGGTATTCTTTTTTTCTATTCATAATTTTACATTTAATTTACTTCTACAGGTCTTCCTCCAATCCAAGACCACTTTTGGGACTGGGTTTCCATTGTACTTCAGTAGCTTTGGTCTCTTATTTTAATAAAAAAAGATAAAATACATTTTTTAATTTGGGACAACAGAAAAGTGAATTGGAGGTGGTCTTTAACTGGATGGGCTTTAATTAGAGGGAGACCTAACGTCGTAATTATAACTTACGTTGGTAATATTTGAATTCGTCTTCAGGATCAATGCCAGCTTCATCACACGATCGGAACTCTGTCAACCCGAAATCCGTTAATTTGACAACAAACCTACTGTCAACTACACAGTTCGACGACTTCAAGTTTCCATGGGTTTCTAATGGTGAATTATGCAAATAATGCATTCCCTGAAATATACATATAAATATTTATATTATTATTATTTATTACTTGCATATTATAACAAAACAATAATACTGTAATGAAATACTGGATTTTGAGCTAACAAACATAAAACAAATATATTGCTTTGTGTCTAAGGTGCATTTAATTGAAATAAGATAGTTTACTTACAGACGTTCATTCATTCTGTTTTATTATCAAAACTCATCAGTAAAACATAACTGAATTGCGAGCAGGTTTACAAAATTTATAAGAATACAATATTATTAAAATAAAAAATATTATTAAAATGCAACAGACGTATGGAATTAATAATACCGGTTCTTTGCATAAACACTTTGACAGGTAATCTAATCAATTTGTTATGGAATGAAAACACCGTGCATCCATACTACAAAGTCACCATAGTTAATCGACAAAAAAACGGGCAAATTCGGACATCAATGCATTGTAGGCCTATTCTTCCGTCTGTGAAATTGGCAAGATTGTGATTGAATTGGATTTCATTACCCAGGAATAGAATACGGTCCGATTATCCAGGAGGTGGCTCATATAAACCCATCCAATCACCCGTAAGTCCGATCACCCATGGGTCCGATCACCCGTAAGTCCGATCACCCATGGGTTTGATCACCCATGGGCTCGCATCGTCTGTCAGACCATATGTCAACGGCGTACTTGTTACGTGTTGAAGTTATGGATTTCGAGAATACACGGTAATGTACGTAATGTAATGTGTAATGTGAATGTATCATACCTACTACACTGATCTTAAGCCCCTTACTGTTTCCAAGATCACGAATTAACGTTAAAAAATCCTATTAAATTGATGTTTAATTCATCTAAAGTGAATTATAGTTTAGACAAGTATTCCACTTTCGCCGAGTCAACTAGCAACCGTATACTCATTAGCCTTACTTTTGAAAGTATTTAACCTCATGCCTGTACTACTGCGCTAGGATTAAGACTCCAGATTTCTGACATCTCACGTTAATCACTGTTATCGACTTTAAAATAATTATGATAACATATTTGCATGAAACTGTAATTATGAGAGGTGAAAATGCATTAGCCAGCAGAATACGATTAATGTGAATGCTGGAAATAAAAACAAGTTCAGTTTAACATCATCTGATTAACAAGTAAAAACAAAAACCAATTTTTTATCGTTCTTTTACTTTCTTGTGTCAACAGACAATTTATGGTTTGAGTAACATTTTATGTAATTACCAGTATCAATTTTAAATTGTAATTGAACAATATAATACAATTATTTGAAGATCACGTGTAGTTGAACGTAACGTACGTCTACATGCAAGTATTAAACATAAATAAAACGATACAATAATGTTCGATGGGCTATGAATTAACCATCACGTAAAGTACACAAATATACGGTACAGTTTGAAATTGTCATAATGTGATCGAGTGCAAACTAGTATTGGTGAGGCCAGAGAATCCAGTGGCCAACGAACGCGATCGTTTATTATATAGGCCTACCATATCAGCAAATGTATTATATAATTATTATTATTTATTTATTACATTACCGGTACCTTTCTATATTATTATGGAATTTGACAGAATAGGCATAGTTCAACAAAAGTAATTTTTAGAGGTTTTGGCATGCATATTTGCAGATTAATATTGTTTACAATGTATAATATGTCCATTTTTTCAGAATAAATCAATAAAAAGAATAGACCAACGTTTGTTTTACTTTAATCTAAACACATTAGACCTATACCTAATATTTCTGAAAACGGGTGGGTATTCATTACGGTATGACTCAACGCACACACAGCAGAACAGGTCTTCGTGCGTTTCATGTAATTATATTAGCACCATACACAATGGATCTTGAAAGATATATACGTGAAATGCATCATAACATCTCTTACGATACAAATGTCTCAGTAATATATTGTACAAATAGCCTTGAACTTATAATCTTTTCATTCAACATCGAAATATTACTTTGAAAATTCTGAAAGATCAATGCTTTACAGGTACTTGCACACGCTTAAGACGTTGGAATTATCATGAGCCCGTGGATTATTACCATTTATGTTTTTGACCAAGAGATTAATTGGGGCTTCGCACAGAAATGAAACATGTGGGGGGGGGGGGGGGGTCCGCGCTGAGGCTCAGGCTGTTTAAAGCTATGCATGGGCCCTCTGGACAATTCACTTTACATAATTTGTTATTGCCACTAATTTAATTTGAAACCGGGCAGAACATTGAATTAGGTCTAATTTGTGCACTGGAATATTCCACCGGGAGTGATGGTTGCAAAGATGGTTGCAAATTGTGCATAATAATTTGCTTAAAATCTATTGAACAGGGAACTGAACCGCCGTGATGTAGGCCGCTTCCTTGCGGATACCATCGCGCTAAAATATAGCATAAAGAGGAAAACTGGATTCAGTTATTACATCAATTTTGTTGATATCATTAGCGTACAGGTTAACACAATTACATCGCATGCGGGTGTCTTTGAATACTTTCACTCACGAACTTGCAAAGAACGTGAAGGGGTTAAAATATTATTTGATACTTAAGGTAAGTGGCGCAAGACTTAGTGAATAATTGGCGCAAACTGCCGCTGAAATCTAAAGCGGCTCTGGCTGAAGTCGTTATTCTGGTGGTCTGGATCTTTACTGTCAAAGGCGGGTGATATGTAATGAAACGTGCTTGGAGGCTTTTCAGGGGTTACTAGAATTTGAATAACAGCGAATATTTAATAAAGAAAGCTATGAAACACCGTCCTGTAAGCCGAGCACTATGGGAAATACGTGTGGGGTGGGGGTGTGGCTAGTCTGATCGCACCCTTTCTAATTATATATAGGCCTATGTTTTAATTTAATGTTTTTAGTCATTGTTTTTTTCTTTTGTTGACCAAAGGTCATTTATTCACAAACATCCTTACAGTATATCATTATAAAGTTTTCATTAACATCTCTTAATGAATGTGTACAAAGACAAGTTGTTCCTTATTTTCATTTTTTTTAACTTGTTGACCAAAGGTCATTAAATTACCACCATAATAATCACAATAATAATAATAGGAAAAATTTAAAAAAAAATCATAATAACTCAACGTGTTATGAGTAAACTTATATCGCATTAGCGTTCAATGATGAAAACTAATATATTTTTATATAAAAATGAAAAAGGGAGAAAAAAAAAATTAAGGGATATACTGGTCAAATAAAATCTATATTAATAATAGTTACAATTGGTCAATGCCTAAACTTTGAAATCATGTTAATATCATAGAATTATGCTTGAATTTATTTTTTTAACTTTCATATAACATACATTGATCGACTTAATTTGCATATTTTATTGTATATATAAGAATTAAGAGAAGTTTAAAAAATAAGAAAATCAAGAAAAAAGGTGAAATATCAAAAAGTCTGTAATTCAGAATGTCTGTAATTCAAATAACTTGATGTATTGATGAATAAAAGTGGTGGTTGTTATACCCCAAAAGAGAAAAAAAAAATAATAATAATAATAATAGGCCTAATGATAATCACAATCAATAATATTAATAATAATAATAATAATAGTAATAATTATAATAACAATATTAATAATAATCATAATAATAATCACATAATACATCATAAAATGGATTTTATTATATATCAATTATTAGATTCTTAAATTTACAAGCTTTTTATAATATATATTTTTTCCTGCAAGTTGTTTCTATATTTAAGCTCAGTATAAAAGATTGGTATAATAGGCTTTGATAGCTCAGTGATGTTTTATAAATTACAAAGGTTGCCAAGGTCATGAGTTCATTTACAGTATTGTATTTATCTTCTATATTGTGAATTCCCTTAACAATTTTATTCATATTTATATCTACTATAAATCCATTGTTTTTTAACACTCGTTTGATATTAGACCAGTACCCATTTACACGCTTACAATGTAGAAACATATGTATATAATGTTTTTAGTCATTGTATTGTAAAAATGTGGATTTAAATTTAAAATTAATTGTAAATGTTGTACAATTCAAAAATCACTGATTAGGCATACGGTACGTCTACCGGTTTAAATTGGATCTACCCACTAAACCAGGGGTGGGCATAAAATCGGTCGGAGGGCCAAAGTGAATTTCTGATTTAACACCGAGGGCCGCACCCAAACTTAGATCTTTCCAGTGCGCTTCTAAAAACCTCCAAGCACTTTATTCCCAGTTTTAATTACTTTTTACATATGATCGGTGTCAGGCCGTAAAAAAACAAGGTGTTTCCTAGCCAATGTTGCTTGGCGGGCCGCACACATAGGGGTTTATTTCATATTCGCGGGCCGCATAAAAATCGCTGTCGGGCCGCACTTTGCCCACCTGTGCACTAAACCAACTAAAAATGATTTAAGAAAAATACATTTATTTGTTTATATTCTGTTTACGGTCGTACGAAACAAGACAACTCTGAATATTGTACAGGCCTAATATGGCTATTCAACCTAAACATTTTAAAACAATAACTCTAAAGAAATGAAATGTTACTTATAAGCAGGAATAAATGTCGGCAGGATCAAATGAACTGATAATAAATTTAATCTTGTCACGTTCAAAAATAAGACATGATGATTTACAAATGCAGTTGTAATAGGTAATTATCTACGATTGGTATTATTGTCTTGTACGCCGTGGTGACTGATACATATATAAAATAATAATAGTAATCGTTTATGATATTGTTTTCTATATTTGACATTCATTACTTATTCAATTCATTTCAACAAATCATGCATTTTCTTCAAATAATGCGTAGGCCTACTTTGCAGCTATCTAATGATAGAAGTTGAAAGTTGATACTGTATGTAATTCAATAGAAATGGTCTGATGTATTATAATATAAATGTATATACTATGTAGGCCCACATATAGATGTAGATACAACATTTGATAAGGCAAGTTAAGACAATATTATTACTTGTCAATATTTAAAACCCCCAAAAATATACAATCTTTAACAATAAGGATGAGTAGGGCTATATTTCTAATAAAATGCCGTATGTCGATTTATAAGCAAACTAACAAATTTAATTAGGCCTAAGCCTGAATAAGTAGCGTTCAGTACGGTACGTTATCTGTGTGAGTTGTGTGTGTATGAATTTATGTCGTTTATCGTCTTGTATATATGGCAAGTGACCATAGATTCGCTGTTATCAATCTAAAAAACAGATAAACCAGGTACATTTCATTATACTGAGTATTAGGCCTATGTCCACAATGGATACGACTCTCTTGTAAGTTCTTCATATAGGCTTACGTATACGGCGTTTAGTCTCTTTAGACCGATTGCGCATTATAGCATAAATCATATTAGTACCGGTAAAAATATGTTTTTATATTATAAGTACCGTTGGGGCCATTTAAAGTATTAAAATTACGAATGCAGCGGCAAGCTTTGTAGTTAATCCAGTTTCAGCAGACGAGATTATATCGAATGTTTCGGTCACGATGAACACAGGCAGATGCAGAAATCTAGATTGTATTACGTATAGATGTTGTTTACCAACCATTATTACATGTACAGTGAATTTTGAAATAATTAATATCCTGGGAAATAATGTGAAGCGCATTACAGTACAAAAGCTAACATATCATCACAGTATTACCATTGTCTGACATTAATTTTTAGGAGCCAAAATTCATAAACCATTCTTATATCTATATCTGCTCTCTTAGATATGTCAATTAGGAAAGTTTTTGCAAGGTTACACAATTCGTAGGCCTACTTAATACAATATTTATACATAATAGTAACCTCGATATAGAAGAAGTTTTAAGCATAGCACCATTACAATCAACAAAGATAAATAAAAACAGTGCTCAGATACCGTACCGGTTATAAACATAATGGCAATAATCATATCAAATACTTCCTTTTATTACATCATTATATTATTTCTATATCTGAGAGCACTGTTAATATTTACCTTTGTTTTATATATAACAAAGATAAATAATATTTATCCTTGAATATTAACAATGCTCAGATATAGGAATAATATAGTAATAAAATATATAAATATATATTATTCAGTGCGCTATCTTCCGATTAGAATAGTATAACTTTTGAACTTTGAAACACGGGCGCCAAAATGTTCTAAGGCAGATTCAAAAAAGAGTACCGTAGACTTAGGCCAACAGTCAGCAAACAAAGTAGCCTTAATGGTTGCTTTCCAAATGGAAGGCTCATAACTTCAATCACACCTGGGTTAATATAAAATAGTTTGATAAATATTTGACGATGAAAATCATAACTCAATTGAAAAGAATGCGCAGGAAATCACCCAAAATTCAATTGACTAAAATGTAAGTCAATGTAGAACAACTGTACATACACGATGGTCACGACGGATCATAAGTCACAATCTACCAAAGCCTTTAATATCCTTAATGCTTAGGATAATAAATTGAACTTCTTAAAAAATATGACATAAATGCAACACTATTCATTCGTTCAAGTAGAATATAACTCATTTAACTATGCTATTACATGCAGCCAAGGAGAAATTAATAACTCTCTATATTGCCCAAATAAATCACATACAAACGAGTGATCATACGAAGCAAAAACGACACATTTATCGAGAGAAAAACCAACAGGCCGTATATTACTCCGAACAACAAATACAGGCTACATGCGATTTACTGAATATTGATACTATGTGATTTATACAACAAAATACATAAACTGACAGTGATTTTGTCAGTTTTGTATAAATGTTGACAAGGATGACATTTTATGATCTAAATTAGGGTACGTATCACCACACGTTGTACACATGTCACGGGGCTGATATCGATATGTGCGTAACGTTGTACAGTCAAGCATTAGAGAGCTTTCGTACGACGACGTAAGATCAATAACGTAATGACGTCAAATATAATCCATCTGCACATGTAATGACGCTGAGTTATAGTTACCGTCTGTCTGGTTTCCATAGAATCGCTACACAGTCGCAACAATGTTTTTACTGCAATCCTTGCACTGTCCTCGACGCAATCGGGAAAGCTTCCTGATTTGACCTATCAGCGTCACCGAAAGCAGTCGGAGATAGCGTGTGTAGCGATTGTATAAAAACCAAGCTTAACGCATGCTCCGAATCTATGTTGTGCAGAGAACAGTCACGTCTTCGCAAATCGAAAGATCTCTATTAATTATGAGGAGATATTGACATATTGGTAGATAGGCGGAATAAATTCTGATTAATAACAATTACCTTTACGATGTCGTACATGATAGAACATTTGAACATGTCATCCAGCTCTATTGTTTCATTCTCCAAAATATCCTGACAGCAAAACAGAAAAATAATAAATGATCAAGAATGACAGATAAAAGATACACTTTTATAGCTCATTTAAAAGGATCAAGTAAGTTATAAACTTCCAACTAACAGCAGATTTCTGTTGATTTACAGATATTGTTTTACAATCTTTAAATTTAATAGGCCTACTAGCCAATTTAAGAGTCTATACAAAAGAATACAGCAAAGGTACAGTAATATTTAACTGTCCATTAATTGACCGGAAAAAATATTCTTGTTCAAGTTAATAAACTTATAAAATATACATTTCCATTTTTTCAATTTCCATCATCAATACTTTTAGAACTGATATACAGTACAAGTCAAAATAACGTAGTTTCAATTTGCACGCTGGAGGAGATCCAAAACACCGACAAGCAGAAGGCCAGATTACGATACATTAATAATTCATAAGTGAAACTAACTTGTTCACTTTGATACAATAGATCAATGATACAATGACATTACGTTTGTCACATTTGAGCCGAAGATTTCTTTTATTTAGTTAAGGATATGAATATATGCATTCAATAACTTTATACATTCTCTTCAGAAAATGCAATTTGCGACATCTGAGTAGATACAAACGTTAGTATAACCATGGAGGAATAAATAACATTCGCGAACGGTGTGAGTTTATATTTAAGTTATAGCAAATAATGTTATCAAAACGTTGCAGCAATGCTTGCAACGCCAGTCAGCAATAACGTTATAGGCCTAACTACAGTACGTATTTATGGTTCTACAAAAAAAGAAAAGTTTGAACACAAAACGGAATGGCCGAATCCATTAAGGGGAGGGGGAATCCATGTGACATCAGTCAGAGAGCACAATCCCACATTAATTATATGGATAGTGACGAAAGTGACAATGGTTTTGAGTAGTAGTAAATACTAAATCAATTATCTTTAAGCCCGGTTTCTTTAAAATTGCTACACTGTCGCTACAGTGTTTTCAGTGCAATCGCTGTACTGCATGCGTAGCAGTCCCCGACGCAATCGGGAAGGTGCACCGATTCGACCTACAATCAAAAATGTTATCGGCGATATCCTGTAGCAATTGTATGGAAATCAAACCTAAGATTATATTATGCCTAAAATTTAGGGCCCTGATGGTTGTACTTAAAAACATGGAAATATACTTATAGCAATACAAATGTTCTTACCTGTAAGCTACCCTTTGGACAGTACTCAGTCATTATACTAATATTGGGAGAATCAATACAGGCACCAACAAATTTAGTCACGTGGTCATGTTGAATTTCACGCATCTAAGTAAGAAAAAGAAAGAATATGAACAGCATAGGCTCACCATTATACTGTATTTCATTGATAGTAGACATAATGTTAAACTCACAAATGAAATAAAGGCTAAATAAACACTGATTTCCCAAGAGCGTCAACTAGGAGGGATATTCAAAATCGGGTAAATATGCTAATTATAATTATTGTTTTGGATTCGTCTAATTCAAACTCTAAAATGAAATTGAGGCTATTTATATAAAGAACATTTAATCGAACCCCTACGTCAACTGCACTCGATAAACAAACTACAGGCATATATAGATTATTATAGGTAACGTGGTTTTCTGTGTTAATGATAAATTCATTTCAACAAGGTTAAGAACGTGTCCTTAAGCAGTACATTCGCCATCAATTTGTCGTAAATCACCTCAAAGAAGAAGAAGAAGTGGGTAGGCAGTTATATTCGTACGATATTCATTATAGAATATACATTACTATTAAAATTCAATGGAAACTGACTGCCCCAAGTGCTTGAGGTAAACTGTCATTTGGGTGAATTATCTTACTTTCAAAAAATATTTAAACTCTATGCTTTTTATAGACGGTGCTTAAGGTTGCGAAAGGTATTACGCCTTAGAATTTAATAACCTATCATGCAAACCTTCTCAAAACAATGAAATGGGACTCTTTCTTTGAGTATTTAGATAATGCGTGAACGTCATTATACGGTGAATTCTGCAATAGAAAAAAATTAGTGTTTCGAGCCTGAATAACTTTCCCAAATATTTTAGTGATTTACGAACTTTTGAGACCAACACAAGCCCTTCTCAATCAAATATTTTCAACAAACTATTAAAATAACATTTTCATTTCAATAAAGCTTCAATTGGTACATGTAATTATATTAAAGTAGTATTTTATGTTCACCTTATGGAACACATTTCAATCCATAATCAAAATTAATTACTTTTACGGAAAAACACGTGGAAGACTGGTAAAACTTTGATAGGCCTATCTTACGTGGTTTTGCTTTCTCTTCAATAGGGCTACACCAAATTATTAGCGCACGATTAACTAAATTAAGTTACTTTGATTTTTTTTAGGAGTTATCTTTGTTTCTGATATTCGATGTACTGTGTTTCAATTTTGATCTAAAGCCTAAACTACCGAATTGTTGGTGCTGAGTATTTTTGAATGACTGATATCAAATTTGTTATACTTTAGTTGTGAAAAACAATGCTGGTTTTGCCGAATTTCACCAGACCTTAGAGCTGAAATGCAAACACAATGAATACCAAACTACAGCTCCACTTTTCGTCTTTTACAGCCATGCTAGGCATTTGTCAAGATACCTGAACGAGTGGCTATTATTGCACCTAACGTGTATGCTAGTGTATAACACCTGGTCTTAAGGCTATTTTGCCAATAAGACATTCGGGAAGCCGGCTATTTTTCCAGTACATTATAGTCACCTGGGCATTTACAAGTTTTGTCAATGAGACACATGTTAATGCCAATAAGACATCTGCCCACGTGGCTATTTGTCAATAAGACACGTGCATCATAGTCACTTACTTTCTTCATTTCAGTTCGAATAGTTCGATTCAGTTCAATTTTAGGTTTTTCAACTCGTTTTACAGCAACAATATTCCCCTGCAAAAAAACAGAACGGTTTTTACTCAAAAGCGGCTACAGGAAAATGATTAGTATGACGTAATTGCCAATGCTTGAAATATACTCCACTGGCTGACTGCGTAATCAGATGGGAATACAGCCCAGGCTCAGTGTTCTTATTTTTTGGCCGATTTTTGGGCTCACAATGTTCTTAATTTGTTCTTATGTTACACTTTTCAAACATACAGAATTATTATTGTACCAGTATAGGGAATGTAGGTAAAAGTGGCCCTGGAAAAAATGCCCCCCACCCCCCAAAAAAAGGCCCCTGAAAAAATGTCCCCAGAAAAAATGTACCGGAAAGAGTGGCCCCAAATGACAGGTTGGTACACCTTTTGTACTAGAATTACTGAGGGTATTACATAGTCACACCACTGCACATAAGGTACAGATAGTTTTTCTTTGGTTTTTCTATTTTAAAAAAAATAAAAATCTCATTTGGCATTTTACCTCTGCCTCACAAGTTATTCACAAGACCTATGCCAAAATATAATTTTTTTTTTTGAAGCAATGTATTTGAAAAAATCTGTTAGTAGCTGCTTGTATTTTTTTAAAAGACTGTATACAATACTTCGTAATGAACCTAATTAGGTAAGCCAATTTATGTAATAATATCTAATAATACTGATTTTGAATTTCAGTTCGTCTATTCTAATTATAATTTGTTTAAGCCAATTACATTAGAATTATTTCTGAAATGTTCTGTATTTACTGTAAGCCTCTGACTAATAATTTGTGAAGATTGAATAACATGAAACATATATTGCAATGAAACTATCCATTACGAAACTACGATTTTAATCCGAGATTGCATAACATAATACACAGTCCCAAGAGCTTCGTTAATATCATGTTGCCATACTCCCGGGTATGTTGGCAACTTTTCGCCACGGTACAGAATTTTAACCTACCTTATAGTAACCAATTACAGTAAATATTTGTCGTTGGGCGCCCCATACACTCTGACCGGATCCACCCTAGTTAAACAAAACAAGAAATATCATGTATTTAAGTATTTTATTATAGATTAAAATCACACACTTATATAGGCGTATATATATATCGTGATGAGCAAGCGTATTTGAACTCTGAATCTCATCTTCACCGTGTGACGAACCACTTCGCTGTGTATGGTCCGTCAGAGCTATACCCATTAATCCTTACTGTAATTGAATAAATGACTTAGCGAGGTTGGTCGGTCGAATCGGAAAGCCTTTCCGATTACGCCGGGACAGTGTAGAAATTTGATGGAAACAGGCTTTCGACGCTTATTATGGAGAGGCGCATATTCGAGAGAGGCACATTATAGAACATTAGGTATTAGGTATAACGCCTCTGGTCATAACCCAGCAATGTTAGTGTTATTGATTAGTTAGATCATAAAACAAGCTCTTGAAGAAGACACGAGAAAGGTAATACCGGACAGAAGGGATACATAACTACATTGGGCAGACGATTTAAGTATAAATAAAGGAAGTTCATTATGAATCTGTGTCTGAAGCCTTGTTTCCATAAAAATATCTACTCATTTGGCGACACTGATTGGTCAGTTGAATAAGGGAGCGTTCCCGATTGTGTCGGGGACAGCTCGCAGTGCAATTGCAGTGAAAACGCTGTAGCGACTGCGTAGCGATTGTATGGAAACCAAGAATTAACGAAAACTAGTAGGTTGTCTGCGAGATTCTCTTCTGTGTGTCGGGTGTTATTACAATTGGAATATTGAATTACATGGCGCGTGTTGCAACACGCGTTATCACGCGCCGTGTATAATGTTTCTAATGTCATTATATACAAGGCTATATAATTGGCTCAAGATATTATAGACCTATGGTAATTTAATGAAGGTTAATACCACATATAGACAAACAAGCATTTTAATATCAGAGAATATTCATGGATAATCTTTATTTTGGTTCAAGATTACACTTTGAATTGGCATGCAGCAGTTCGTTTAACACACAAATAACTACAAATGAATGAGGGGGAAAAGCGCGTGTCCACAATTGTGGCTGTTGCGTGTTGGTACCCGTTTTTATTATACTGTGGTGACGATGGAGATCATAATTCAATATTGTCAAATTGTGTAATCTAGTCTATTACGCAAAACACATTTGATCCTAAAGAAAGCAATTATGTTTTGTGTGAAGCTTAATAGCTTAGGCAGAATTGGACCAGGATTCAGCTCCAGTTTCGATTACGAACTGAAATTAGAATTCTAGGTCATTGAATCCGCATGATTCGGCCTAAATGGCTGGAAGGGATTAACAATTCCACCATAACTATCTAGCAGAAAAATCACACATTTTACTGTACTTAATTTTAAATGGGTGGCGCTCAGGGGTGACGGCCAGGGCCTCGGGGAGAAAAAAAAATGTAGGCCTATATGTAGGCCTACTTTTTCTACATATTAGTAGACTCTAAAATCGATTAAATAAGGCCAGCTGCCCCCTACCCCCGGTCACTGCACAATATCTCATTGCTATATACGGTACCTATTATTAATTAACAGTACACTGTACTGTAAGAGTTATAAACGCACGAAGCTTTTGCGTTAATAGATGATTGGTAGGCCTAATAAAAATGTTACGAATGACTCCACATTTGAATAATTAAATATGCTATTTAAATCGGCCTACAATAATTTCATATACCAAAGTAAACCGACTGCATGAAATAGGCTACGAGGTACGTGTGACGGATACACACTGTCTGATAAACTTTATTATTATTTTAAATTGGATAAAGAATATCGCTAAATACCACAATACACACGTTATACTTTCTAGGCAGAAGTTATCTAAATACTGGTATTTACGTGATTTATCTATTTATTCATAGCGTATTGTACAATCAGTAATTGAAAAACCCACGGGCGTAAACCAATTTTGCCTCCTAGTGATTTAATTACATGTAAGTTTGAATCCCGATGGGAAAATAAGTTTTCCTAAAACATATTTATCATATAGGCCTACAGTATTATTGGTCAATCCAAAGATCTTGTCTTGTCGTTTAAGCTTGGAGCGGGTGTATAGCTAGGATCTTTGTTTATACGTGTGTATCTGCATGCCGATGTCGTATAGAGTGTGAAATCAATTGCCTCCAAGAAGCGGATATTATATTCGTGTTTGCAAGAGATACGGTAAATTGCGTGTGTGCATCTACCCCATCTAAGTTTCCCACATTTCATGGTAGTGGTGTCAATGGGCCTGTTTCTACTGGAAAGAAATAATCGATTAAAAATTGCTTTTCGAAAAATCGCTTTTAGTCTCGCAGTAGAAACGGGACCAGTTTGAAAAAAGCGATTAAAAAAAATCGATTAAAAACACGCAATGGATAGCGTGTTTGAACGGCAAATAACCGATTTTGGCTGTGCACCTTTTAGCTGCAACACAAAAAAGCGATTATCAGGTGAAATGTGACCTCCAGGTCAATCACTGCAAAGACTTAGATCGTATTAGGCGCGAACTTTAAAAAAAAATTTGTCCTCTTGTTCATGTCCTAGGCCTACAAGCTCAAAACATCAACAAACATGTGGAGTGACGAATTCGTTTTGTAATTATTTTGTGGGGGGGGGGGGATATTGGGCCTAGGACTCTCCGCTCTTTTGGGCCTACTGTTGTCCTCGTTTGGTCGCTCGTTTATAATTGTGCCGATGAGCACAACCGAAAACATTTGCCTTCTCGCCCCACATCGTATCTTACTCCTCGTCATCATGACAGGAATAAGAAAGATACTATCCTATACAGTTAGGAAAACAACGTGTTTTATAAACAAAATGGTGACGTAATTTCCGTCACGAAAACCGATTTTCGAAAAATAAAAAATGCAGTTGCAACGCCAGCAAGCAGTCTGGTACTCATTAAAAAAACGGGTTTTAAAAAATCGATTATTTTGTGTTTATCAGTAGAAACACATCCAATGGATAAGACGTGTACAGTGCATTCTCGGTTCAAAAAGCGCGCAAGGCTACAAAAATGTAATGCTACGCGCTGTATCGCAGCCAATCAGAAATAGGCAAGCTTCTGATATTTCCATTTCCAACAAGCCAAGATGGATGAATGGTAGTCGATATCAATCCTGCTGGGAGAGAAAAAGTAATGGAGGTATTTTGGCGCTTACACCTCAATAACTTATTCCATTGTTACACTAGGGAAAATTTACGCGCGAAATGTCTGATCGCATTTCATATGAAAATCCCAGACGAAGTTGAGAATGCAATGGAATATCGCCCTACACCAAGCGATACTTGGCAATTATCAGATCGTATTTCTATCCTAGTGAAAACATTAATAATTACTTCATGTATTAATTCTTCCAAAATATCAAAAAAACTTACTGATGCCTGGCTCGGTGCGATACTCAGCCGACTCCCCGACAGTTTTTTCTTATCCTTTTGATCAAAGAGAATGTCATCCCATTTAATTTTCCAAGACATGTTTGCAAGTTCAGCTTCATATTTATAACGCCTAATGAAAAAGAAATTATGAAAAAATGTTTAAACTATTAACATTAAGACGAAATTAACGTGCTTTGGAGTTTTAGAATTTACGTAGATCTAATATATAGTACAGAAGGCATATTAATGTGGAGCTATAGTAGCTCTTCTATACAAACGAGGTGAGCCGACCCCGTCCAAGGTCTAAAATACAAAATAATACTGCTCCGCATAATATATGCACTGTGTTCAACCATGTTTGTTCCACCATTTTGACCGACATAGAAATTGGTTTTTAATGAATTAAGCGAAACTAATCCATGTGATGCTTAACACAGCTTAACATAAGCTCAGTCTATATCCGTTTAAATGCTATAATACGATTTGTTAACATTACACATGCGCACATAGCGCCTATTCGAACATTATTTGCCCAAACGGTTGAGAAACGTAGTTTTAGGCCTTTAAAACGATACTTCTTCAAACATTTCATGTAAGCGATTAATCAACACCGTATGTAGTGCTTAACATAGCTTAGCATTCGTTATATCATTTTAAATGCTTCTCATTTTGGGCCTTTTGTTAACATCTCGACTGAACATAAGTTAAACAATATTATATAAGTTATAAATAGCAGAGTATTTAGAACAACCAGCCGTATATGTAGGTTTTGTGCATCACAACAGTATCCTCAAGCACATAGTGAAGAAATTGATGACGATTTCTGCTTACAATACCGTAGGCCTCCTACAAATTGATCTAATCTAAACAGAATATAATGATGAATTCACTACATTGTTTTGGTTCGATTCATGTTAATGTATTAAAAACAATTCAATATGTCCACATAATTTGCACTTTCAAAAAACTTGGGTCTAAATCCCGTAAAAAAAAACCCGAATCTACATTTATTATGAAGTTGTTTCACCATGCCATGTTTAATGCATGTAATTCAGTGTGTTATACACAAAATCATAGAGAAAACAAACTAAAAACTAATCTGTGTACTTGGTTTCGAATCTCGAGACATCAATTTTTTTCTTGTATACTATCTGGTTTTACATTAAGACAAAGACTTAATGGACACAAATTTGACATTAAGCACAATCACACACAGAATCATGTTGCTCAGCATTTCACTCTTCCAGGCCACAATATTAATAATCTTAAAGTTAAAGTTCTTAAAGATGGTAATTTTAAGAATAATCTAGAAAGGGAAATTGTAGAGCAAAATTATATTAATAAACTTGACTGCATTAATTTAGGACTTAACATAGACAGAGGCTTTTTGTCGCACTATAGGGTATAACCTATTGCCTGTTCCTGCATATATTTGACTCATGCTTCTGTTTATTCCTATCTTTTGTTTCATCAGATGAGACTCATTATCCCTTTGTTTATACTAAGTCACCGTCCACCCTTTTGTTCTTACTGTATATATGACAACTCTTTTATCCTATTTGTACATTCACCTGAAGAAGACCACTGCGTGTCGAAAGCTTGTGATTAAATAATAATAAATCTGAAAGGTGCTGTTTGTCCTTCATTTATTGTTATCTGGTTTTAGTTAGTTACATCGTTTCTTAGTGTGTATTACTTGACACATATTACTATTACTAATACTATTACGTATTATTATATCAGATAGAAGAAGATAATTAAGTGTATTTTGAGAAAAAAAAAGTGTTTGAGATGTTCACAACAACTACAACGACATCAGAAGCTCGATAACATGTGTACGTAGGAAATGTAATGTTACACAAACATTTTGACTACCAATTTAAACAATATTTATATAATGCATTGGCAAGATCAGAAGATTCAAATAATATATCGTAATAATGCCTACCAGCCTCCTAATAACGTGGATTGTAAGCCTACATGCATTTCGTATAAATTTAGAATTAGATTACACAGTACACACCGACTCGATTATGTTGGATGTACCAGACGAGGTAACCCATAAACCAAAAGTGTATCCAAATATTAAAAAAGTTGAGTCAAATGCAAATGTCGTTGAAAATGAACATTTCGCCTGAGGTTTATTGCATTTACAGAGCCTTGGTTTTAATCGGTTAAAATTATGTTATGAAATTCGATATTTCGAATTATGTTAGCCTTGAATGTCGCTTCACGGTAACATTATCTCTGACTTTGATTAACTGATCGTCAGAAAACATAAAATTGGTAGTAATCAAGTTAGTAATGAGGGGATGCTTAAAATAACAGACTGCTGTTATTAATACCACACATATCACGTGGTTAAAGTGGTTCCATCACGGCAGATGATGTGCAAAAACTGTTTTGGAACGATTTTTTTTGTTTTTATTTTTGTTCTTTAAAACTTAATAACGAGGGTGTATCACCCATCAACAATGCTGATCATCGAAAACGATGCTCTATGTAAACCAAATCGCCTTATGGGGGCCTGAAGTGGTTTTTTATGGACCTCGGTATTAGAAAGCCTATTTCTTATAACCACGAACCCCGCAGTTCCAATCTGGTTGTACGTATGTGCAGAGATACCGTAGGCCTATATAAAAATACCTTCATGGTGTACTACTTAGGAGAGTCAGCGAATGCATACCCTACATTGTAAATTTTGCATATTTTTGAATAACAAATTAAGGAAAGGCCAATCCGATAACACTAACATCTAAAATTCAAATCAGAATGAATGAAACAATCAGTTGTTGAACATGAGAAGGTTGGCGAATATTAGGCCTATAGCTATCCAACAACTATACGCGTACTGTGTCAATGCTTTGACCGTACTTTTATTGCAAGCTTAAATTGGCAAGCTGAGTTTTTGTTGTTTTTTTTCCTCGAAGTTTGTATTTCAATTTTCCTTTGAGATGCACAAATTCGACAAGAAAATAATGTAAAAATTCAATGATTGAAGAGGAATAAAACATTTCGAGCAACTGCCATATATGAAATGGGCATTAAACAGTACCGGTACCGTAGTACTTAATTTAATCATCAAAATGAGTGGAGTGGCTGTCTCGAGATAATGTCACGGTATATTTTGCCATCTGAACTATTGATAATTAATAGCGATATACTGTAATGCGTAACCACATTTGCAAATAAACGCAAGCATATTGGCTGCCGGAATATACTGTATAACGTAACATACGGTACTACTTGTGTCAGTTCGTGAAAGCAATCACTTTATCAAACTTTCAACTATTCAAAGAAAAAGTCTCCAATCAAAGTATGGAAAATAAACACAATAACCTAGATCAATTGACATAATAATGGTATGATATTTCAATTCATTTATTCGACCCATATACACAGGAAATAAAAAAAAATCCATGTGCATGGTTTTACAACACTTTCTATTCGAATGAATTTATTAAATTATATAAATTTAGCATAACTTATTTCTAAACTAGCATTCTAAAAGCCAGTATCTTTAAACGTTAAAATCCCATAAATTCCCATTCCTAACCTATTCATTCACAGTTCAACGTCCGCCTTTTAAAATGGATAATTGAATGTCGGCAAACGTAGTTTAACGGTGTTATAGACATATATAAAAAATTCTCCCTTAGCAGTTAGATCTTGATAGCACATTTGTAGAAGTGGTTGGCGCATCGGTTGTGGCTTGGACTCCCAACCTCGAGGTCGGGGGTTCGAAACTCTCGCTGTGCAAATCGCTTGTGTCCTTGGGCAAGACACTTTATCTACGGTTGCCCCTCTCCACCCAGGAGTACAAGCTGTCTCTTATACACATCTAGATGTGTATAAGAGACAGATTATACACTGACCTACAGTAAATAATTTCATTTAGTGTTTAATGTGTTCCATATGTGTTTGATCCAATGACCGGGGTAATAATGTGAAGCGCTTAGAGGCTTTGTTAAGGCATTAAGCGCTATATAAGAACGACATATTATTATTATTTGAAGGAAATCATTGATCTTATCTACATTACACTAAACGGCTAAAGCTATACAATAGGTCTTCTTTTTATCCGATTTACTGCGTTTGTTAAATTTTCGTTAATTGCCTATCATTTGAGGTTCTGTCACTGATTTCCACATTAATTGCTATTTTCGTGGATTAATAATAATAATAATAATAATAATAATAATAATTTGATAAAGGTCTACGACCGAAAGATTAAATTAAACCCACAATTAAAACTACTTTGTATGTCTCTTATACACATCTAGATGTGTATAAGAGACAGAACTTACGCACAGCGTACGGCAGCGTATTGCCGACGATCACGCAATGTAGCCTATAAAAAGGCTGCCGCTCGTCGATTCAAATCATAACCGCACTAGACATCACAATCGACATCATTGTCGCAGTATCAATATTACGATACTAACATCACCCCATGTTTAATTCCCCTTAGAAACTCAGTAAGTTCTGTGGTCATCCGGAACACACTTGGGCAAGGCATTCAGTGTATTGTTAGAACACGAACACTTTACTAAGATTTTAATTTTTCTATTTCATTTATTCGGCAATTTCAAATATAAATATTTTATTTTGTTCCTTTGTTTGTGTGACGAAGCGAACAAACACAATGAATTGAAAAGGGCAGAACAAAACATGGAGGAAAACAATGATGCATTGTGGTTGTTTTGCTCATTATGGCTATAATATATAATAGATTATGAGACATAATTCGGCAGCAGAAAGTGATATTTTAAAAGGGATCATTGTAACAAACGATTTGGTAAAATCTTTTAGAAAATAAACCAATAAAAAGATTTAAAACAGTTTTGTTCGAATAAAGACGTAACGGCTACACTAAACAACAGCAATAACTGTTGTTTTCTTTTAAAAAATCAAAACTATATCGCCATCAAATTCCTAAGTAATGTAATTTTAAATGTTTAGTCTGATGCATTTACACTTCTGTTAAATGGTGTATTGGTCTTATGTAAATGTAAAAAAACGTAACCGGTATTATGTACGTGACCTATATATAATTTGAAAGTCCAGATATGCCTATATGTTTAAATGAAAAACAACAATTAACCCATTTCGTACGTCCACTATATTATT